GATTCAAAGATAAAATTTAGAGTTTCTAGAGAAGTGGCACGGTAATGTCTTAGACCATTTTCTCTATCACTTCTTTTAGATAGCTGTTGGGCAGGGGCTAGATAAAAGGTAATTGAGATTGTACTCGGGTAGATTTCATACTGAGCAGATGCTATTGAGATACTGTGATAGAAATTGAGAATTCTGACCATAGTTCTCTTCTGAACAGAAGGTAACCCCTCCTTCCATATCTGTAGCAAAGTTAGAATTTTCCTAGTTTTCTCGCTATTGTATCTGAGTTCTCCAGAGAAACAGAACCAATAGGATTTATGTATTTGGAATTGGCTCATAAGATTATGGAGACTGACAAGTCCCAAGATCCATAAGGTGATTTGGCAAGACAGAGATGTAGAATTGTTGATGGTATAGTTCTAGTCTGAAGGCTGACAAGTTTGAGACCCAGCATGCTTCAGTTCAAGTCTGAAGCTTGGAAAAAGCCAATATTTTAGTTCAGAGGCTGTCTTCTCTTAGGAGACAATTAGCTGTTTTGTTGTATTGAACACTTCAACTGATTAGATGAAGCTTGCCCACATTGTGGAGGGCACTCTGTTTTATCCAGTGTACTAACTTAAATGTTAATCCCATCTGAACACATCCTCACAGAAATAACATTGTACCAAATGTCAGGGTACCTCATGGTCTGGTCTAAGGGACACGTAAAACTAGCCATCACGCCTATTTGACGTTGTTCACAAGTTCCATACCATTCAGATAACAGATCACTTTGTTCTAGAAGATGAAACCCAAAACAGTTGTTGACATTTACATCTGTAATTCTTTGAAAACCTCAGTAACACTCTTATGAATTGTCAGATTCTGAACAGCATGACTTGCTAGCCTTTCCTACCTAAAGGGATGAGTTAACATGCTAGCTGGAGTTACTTATTATGGGTATTTTCTAATGAGAATGCTTTTTGCCTCTAGATCAGGGATCGGCAAACTATGGCCCACAGGTCAAATCAGATTTGACTTGTCATCTGTTTCTGTAAATAAAGTTTTATTGCAGCATAGCCACGTCTGTTCTATTGTCTACAGCTGATTTATACTACAGTGACAGAGTTGGGTAGTTGAAATAGAGATTGAAAGTCCTGCAGAGCTGAAAATATTTACTGTCTGGCCCGTTACAGAAGTTTTGTTGAACCATTCTTCCTGTCAGTAGTTAACTATTCAAGACTAATGATTAAAGATTTTCTTAGCTTCTGATAATAACACCATAGCATTGGTATATACAGTAAGGGTTTCCCTCTCATTACTGGTGTGTGTGTGAGAGAGAGAGAGATTATGTTCTTTTAATCTGCAAACGATTTCCTTAGCCAAGATTTGTCAATAAATGGGGTAGAGGTGAGTTGTGGGATAAAATGCAACATTATTTTATACTGCTCAAGTAGTTATGTTGTCTAAGAACAAGGGTTTTGATGTTAGTGGTTTCATGCTGCTGTTGTAAAAATTGATATTAGGAATCTATTGAATTTATGTATCTTGATCTATAGCTGGTTTCTTTTTAAAAGATTATTATTTATTATAGAGATGTGGGGTACAATTCAGGGTTGGGTATATGCACATTGTTCATGTAGGTACCCTTGTTGATTAGGTATGCCTCTCCTTCCCCTAGCAGTTTTCCTCAAGTGCCAATCCCACCCCACCTCCTGACAATTTTCCACTACTGTCAATCTCTTTCTTATATAGCTGATTTCTAATCTCAGAATCAGATGTAAATGTAGTCTGCAAATCAGTATACATAATTTTCAGCATTTCCCCTTCATAAACTGATAGAATTAAATAATAATAATAATAATAGCCAATGACAAAGCAAATGTTCCTGAAATGTATTTGTTCCTTTAGTAAAATATAGTCGATGTAAGCTTTTAGGTGTGGAACTCCCTGAAAAATTTCTGTCATGTACGTCAATATACAAACTCTTTTCCAACCATGGGATCATACTGCATAGACAGCTATGTAAGTGGATTCTCTCATACTTAATATATTGTGGAAGTTCTTTCATGTTAAAAAATAGATTAGTAAAATTATTTTTAGCATTTAAGCATTATCAACTAATTTACAGATATATATTTTTGTTTCTAGGCATTTATTTTATTTTAAGCAGTGCTGTCAGGAATTTCCTTGTGCTTAAGTTTATTTATATGTATCTGGTATTTCTTTAGGATAATTCCCAGTGGAAGTTTATGACTATGTTAAAATTTGCATTCCTGTTCCCAGATATCTAAAGGTTGCACCAGTTTAAAGGCCACAAAAATAGATGAACATTCTTCTTAGTTGGTGACATCAGTCTTCCAAATATTTGTCCAACTGGTAATTTGAAATATCCAGAAACTCTGTTGTCTTTTTCATTTCTCATTATTATTAGTGAGATTTGACATATTTTTAAAATCTTAATTTTTCCATTTACATGTCCTCAAGCCTATTAATTTATTTCTGGGTATTACTAAAACAGTATTTATCCGACTAATAGGTTTGTACTTGAGAGAAAAAGTAGTGGGCTGGTTGGCCATTTTTGGTAACGGTTTAGACAGGACATTGAGTTCATTTAGATGGGATATGTTACTTGATAGAAGAAAACATTTTGGTTGAGATTATAGATCAGAGTTAGAACAGATCTGGTGACAGAACACTTTCATCTGGTGCTTCAGTGGTGAGGATTTTTAATCACATGAGTTAAAATAATTTTTTTGTTTGTTTGTTTTGTTTTGTTTTGTTTTTTTGAGTTGGAGTCTCACTCAGTTGCCCAGACTGGAGTGTAGTGGCCGCTCCCGGCCACTGCAGCCTCCACCTGCTGGGCTCCTGCGATCCTTACGCCTCCTCCTTCCAAGTAGCCGGAATTACAGGCGTGCGCTACCACGCCTGGCTGATTTTTTGGTTTATTGTAGAGATGAGGTCTCGCTGCCCAGGCGGGTCTCGAACCCACAGGCTCAGGCAATTCACTCACCTCAGCTTCCCAAAGGCGGAATTAAAATAATTTTGAGAGTGGCCCAGAATCTACAAAGGTTTAAGTGACTGTTCTAGGCTTCAGAGCTGGTAAAAGTGTCTTGGGCCAATATTCTTCAGTTTTGAATTGTTAATTTAAGTGTATGTGGGTTTTAAGCTTGCTAATATGCTTTATATATCTGCAAAACCCAAATTTAATTTATGATTATATTTAAACAAATTTTAAAATAATATTAATGTGGCATAATGTTTTATGAAAACTGAATCATTAATGTTGTGATTAATATGATAGAAGTAGCTTCAGGTCTAGTTTTATTATTAATTTGTTCACATGTTTTGATTTTAATATTAATATAGAGAATGACTGTTACTAAAAGTGTGGTTAAAAAAATGGTGTAATTAATTTTATGCACGTGTTTGTTGTGTTGTGATCTGTTTAAACTGCCAGGAGGCATTCTTCCTTGCAAGCCAGTTTCAATAGGGTATCACTTGATAATTCTGTAAAACTGTCTTGTTTCAAATAATGATAAATGCCGTGATGTCATTTGCTCTTTACTTAGAAGCAACTGCTACTGCAAACATAAAACACAATTGGGGCACTGAAATTATATGATAAATCTGTTTTAAGGTAGCTATACAGATATAGCACCATTGAAATTATGTGGAAATAATGTTTAAGATAGCTATTCAGATAATCTGTGAGATGCTTATTAATTTTTTAAGGATTATCATGGAAACAAAAGCCTAAAATTTGGGAGTGTGTTAACTTTTTTATGAGTAAGTATGTTGGCACCAATTTGAGAATCAGTATTAGGACTCAATAAAGATTTGTACTTCTACATCTTTTGTATTAAATTCAAAAGATTTAAAATTATTTCTTCTATTACAGTGCTATAACAATTTCCAGATGCTTAGTCTTTATTTCTGACTCTAACTGGTAACAAATAGTTCAGACTGGTACTGTCCCATGGATATCTTTTGAGTAGCATTGTACTAGACAGCAAAATAATGACCATGTTAAGGGATGGGTAAAACAGAAAAAAGGTAAATAAAAGTTAAGTAAAACAGAATAAGTGAAAACAAATATTGAGAGAACATTGAAAAGCCTTAAATTAGCTAAAAAATATTTAATGTAACTCAGAAGGGCAAACTGAACTAAGAGTAGGAAATGGCTGTGCTGTTACATTTTTATCAGAAGATAATTAAATAGATATTTAATTAAAATAATGTAAAATAAATTTAAGTTTGTTTTTTGTTTTGAATTGAAGTCTTACTCTGTTGCCCAGGCTGGACGTGCTCATGGCCACTGCAGCGTCGACCTGCTGGGCTCAGGCGATCCTTGTGCCTCAGCCTTCCTACAGGCGCACACCACCATGCCTGGCTACTTTTTTGATTTATTGTAGAGATGAGGTCTTGCTAAGTTGCCCGGGCTGGTCTTGAACCTGTGAGCTCAGGCAGTCCTCTCACCTCAACCTCCCAAAGTGCTGGGAATTTTAGGTGTGAGCCACTGCGTCTGGCCTTAATTTTAAGGTTTAAGTGAAAATCGATTGTAGAAAAAATTGGATGTTTAGTAGATATAGTCTGTAATAGAAAAAATTGTTTTGATCTTTCATGTGCATATTCTATTTATATTGTCATACATTATGATTGAATTAGGTTTTCCTTGAGCCTGAATCCTTAGCTAATGCTTGTATGTGGAATAACAGACTAATATGCCAGAGCAGAGTACTGACATTTGAACATACATAGGTAGATTTTACATTTTAATAACATAACAGTACACATTTAAAAGTTAAATACCCAGAAGTAGAAAACAGTTCTTCAGCCAGAGGATGCTGTGAGATCTACATTGAGTTGATATATGTAAGTTTATTTGATGAGTTTCATGGCTCTTTTAAAATTATTTTGGGCAGAAAATAACCCTTTATACCTTATGCGTATTTTTTATGCGGGAAAAAACCACTTTTGCCCATTGAGCTGTTTCGTGTGTGTTAAGTGCTGTGCCTCTGCCTTTGTAGGCCCAGACTACGCGTCACCCTGGCTGCCTGGGAATGAGTCATCGTGGCAGGCCTCAGCTGTTCCTTCTCACCATCGAAGTAGCCATATCCGGAGACATAGTATGACTTCTGATAGTGGAGACACCGGCATTGGGACTTCCTGTTCGGACAGTGTGGAAGGTGAGGTAAAATTTGTATTGTTTAAATATGCATCTTGGGAGAATGGTTGCGATAACGTTTATTGTTTCAAACTAAAAAGTACAAAGTAGTATTTGAATATTTTGTAATGTTCTGTGTGTGTGTGTGTGTGTGTGTGTGTGTGTGTGTGTGTGTGTGTATGATCTTTTTAACTGAATTTTTGTGTGTGTGTGTATGTGTGTGTGTGTGTGTCACAGTCTCGCTCTATCACCCAGGCTGGAGTACAGCGGCACAGTCATGGTTTATTGCAGCTTTGACCTCCTGGACTCAGGCGGTCCTTCCGCATCAGCCTCCTGAGTAGCTGGGACTATAGGCGTATGCACCTGTTCATGGCTAATTGTTTTATTTTGTAGAGTTGAGGTTTTGCTTTGTTGCCCAGGTTGGCCTCAAACTCCTGGGCTCAAGCAAACCTCTTACCTCAACCTCCCAAAGTACTGGGATTACAAGTGTGAGCCAATGCACTTGACCCTTAACTAAATATTTTATCTTGAGAGAATTACAGATTTACATGCGGTTTTAAGAAATAACGTGGTGAGAGGTCATATACCCTTTATTCATTTTCCTCCCATGGTGATACCTTGCAAAACTAGAGTACAGTTTCACAAAGGGTATTGACATTGATAGAACGAGACACAGAACATCTCCATATGCGTCATGCTGCCTGCCCACACCCCTTCTCTCGCTCCCCATCCAGCTCCCCCTCAGATCTTGGAAGCCACTTCTCTGGTCTCCATTCTATACTTTTATCATTTCAAGAATGCTTTGTAAGTGGAACCATACAGTACGTAACCTTTTGGAATTCTTTTTCCTCTGGACATTCATTGATATTGTGTGTATTGACAGTTGATTCTTTTTATTGATGAATAGTATTCAGCAGTTGTGGTAATGGAGAGACCACACTTTGTTTAATCATCTACCCACTGAACAGCATTTGGGTTGCTTCCAGTTTTTGACTGTTGTGAATAAAGCTGCTGTCAACATACGTGTACAGGTTTTGGTATGAACATGTGTCTTCTTTTCTCTGGGGTGGGTAGATGCCCAAGAGGGCAGTTACTGGGCTTTATAGTAGTTGCATGTGTAGGTTTTAAAGGAACCATCACATTGTTTTCTAGAGTTGACTGTATCATTTCCATCAGCAATGTATGTATGTGACCCAGGTTTCTCTTTATCCTGTCTAGCATTTGGTGTTTTTGAAATTTTAGCCATTCTGATAGTATAGTGAGATCTCATTTTTAAAATAGAAGTTAATTTTTTAGACAAGTTTTTTTTTTTTAAGCAGTAAAAAATTCATAGGAAGGTACAGAGATTTCTCATAAGAGGAGGGATGCCCCCTAAAACCAGAATTATCTTTTGGCGGGCAGGCCCCCCGTAGTACACCTGGAATTTGTGCCTCTGGATCAAATAGTCAGCCAAAGTTTTTATCTGGAAGTTTTGAGAAGATTACATCACTATTTGTGGGAGAAATGACCCAAGGTGTGGCAAAGAGGTGACACTGGTCTTCCACCGGCCCACACTGTGCTGAGTGTTTTGACCTAAATGGCAGACCCCAAGTCCCACCCTCCCTATTCACCTGACCTCATCCTGACTGACTTTTTGTTGTTTCCCTGATGAAGAAAGTTCTCAGAGGGAAACATTTTGCCAGTGTAGAACAGATGAAACAAAAAATGGCATAAGCACTAAAAGGCATCAACACTGACGAGTTCAAAACTGTTTTGAGCAGTGGGAAGATTGTTTGGATGGGTGTATTGCGTCAGACAGAGAGTACTTTGAAGGTGACTGAAGTTTAAACACAGGCGCAATTTTTAATAAACACATCTTCGGGTTTCTTGGGTCCCCCTTGTGTGCCCCTTGTCCCCACACATGGACAGCCTTCCTCAATATCATCATTTTTCACCAGGTATAGTAAGTACATTTGTTGCAGTTGATGAATCCGCATTGACACATTCCCACCCAGTGTCCATATATCAGCATTCACTCTTGGTATTGGATATTCTGTGGGTTTGACTTCAGTCACTTAGTATTATGCACTTAAATATCCCCCATGTCTTTTCATGGCATGATGGCTAATTTGCTTTTAGTGCTGAACAAAATTCCATTGTCTGGAATGTGCCCCAATGTATGTATCTATTCACTTTACTGAAGGGCTTCTTGATTGCTTCCAAGCTTTGACAATTATGGGTAAAGCTGCTGTAAACATCTATGTAAGTTTTTGCATGGACATCAGTTTTCAGCGTCAACTGAAGAATAATGAGGTTCATAAATTTGCATAGGAGAGCTTTGTTTCTCCTAAAGGTCTATGGCTTGCAAGGTGGCCATTCTGACAGAGTGAAAAGCAAAACTTTGGCAGAAGCCAAGAGACAGGCACTTGGAGGGAGGGAGGGAGGGAGGGTGAAGACAGGAATTTATGCTGACTGGGTCGGCCAAGTATACTTACTCAGGAGGAGCTATGAGTATTTGTGACGGAGACCCATGTACATGTGTAGTAGATTTACATGTATGTCACATGCATCCCATAATCACTTTGGGGTGGAGATTTAACACATATGTATTACAACTAGGTCATATTCGTAAAAAAGTGCAGTGTGGGGCATGAGTCCATGCACCCTTAGGAGACCGGCCAAGGAGTCCTCACTGGGAGTTATTTATCCAGAGGAAATTCTTTGTGGTCCAAAATAGCTGTTGTGCTGAAATCGTTAAAAAAAAAAACAAGAGGAAGGCTGTATGCATCCTGATGGTTTATACGGTGGAGGGTTCCGCTGATGTAGGCAAAGGGGGTCTCCTGGTGTTCTGCTCTCGGCTGACTTTTGAGAAGATCCAGTGGTTCCCAGGGGAAGGGAGTCAGAAGCAAGTGGATATGACCAACCTCCTGCCCCGTGATGGCCCGGAACTTAAAGCTTGGGGATCTTCTAGCCAAAGGAGGATCCTTTAGTCTGTTGGGGGGATTTAGGACTGTTATTTTGGTCCTCATCTCCTTTGGGTTATACTTGGGAGCATGGTTACAGGATCTTACGGTGAGAGCGAGTTTAGTTTTGTAAAAACGACTAAATTCTCTTCCCAAGTAGCTGTAGCATTTTGCATTCCTACCAGCCGTGAATGAGAGTCCTGTTGCTCTCCATCTCGTGGTGTTTGGTGTTGTCAGTGTTCTGGATCTTGCCTTTTTGCTTTCTTGTTTTAATTTGCATTTCCCTGATGACATATGATATGGAACATCTTTTTATATGCTTATTCGCCACCTGTATATCTTCTTTAATGACATCTCTATTAAGGCCTTTAGCCCATTTTCAATCAGGTTGTTTGTTTTCTTGCTATTGAGTCTAAAAAATGTGTGTGTATTTTAGATAACAGTCCTTTATCAGATGTGTTTTTTGCAAGTACGGTCGTCTCTTGGTATTGAGGAGGCTTGGTTTCAGGACCCCTTATATGAAAACTGAGGATACTCAAATCCCTTATATAAAACGGTATAGTCTTTACATGTAACCTATACATATACACCTGTATTCTTTACATCATCTCTAGATTACTTACAGTACCTAACACAATGTGAGTGCTATGTCAATGGTTATATTGTATTGTCTTAAAATTTGTATTGTTATTCTTGTATTGTCATTTTTCTTTTCTTGAATATTTTTCTTTGGAGTTGACTGAATCTGCAGGTGCAGAACCCTCAGATATGGAGGGCCAAGCGGTATTTTCTCTGTCTGTGGCTTGTCTTCTTATTCTCTTGTCATTGTCTTTTGTGGAGCAGATGTTTTTAATTTTATCGAAAAAGTCATGGCCACCATCAAGGTCATCCAGGTTTTCTACTATGTTATTTTCTGTGTTTTATAGTTTTGTGTCTTCATGTAGGTCTGTGATCTGTTTTGAGTTACCTTTTGTGAAGGGTGTAAGGTATACCTTTTGTAGTTGTCCCATAATTTTTGAGTTTTTTGTTTCATTTTTACCAGTCTATGTTCTCTTTGTTTTTAGTTTTAAGCATTTCTGTTGACATATCCTTAAGCTCAGAGATTTGTTAACTGGGTCCAGTCTGCTAATGAGCCCATCAAAGGCATTCTTCATTTCTATTAGAGTGTTTTTGATCGCTAACATTTCTTCTTAACTCTTCCTTATAAATTTTTTTTTTTGAGTTGTAGTCTCACTCTGTCACCCAGACTGGAGTGCTGTGGGCGCTCTGTCACTGTATCCTCGATCTGCTGGGCTCTGGCGATCCTTCCGCCTCAGCCTTCCAAGTAGCTGGAACTACAGGCGCGCGCTGCCACACCCAGCTGATTTTTGATTTATTGTGGAGATGAGGTCTCACCAAATTGCCCAGGCGGGTCCCGTGGCCTCAGGCAATCTACTCCCCTCAGCCTCCCAAAGCGCAGGATTATAGGCTGAGCCACTGAGCCCGGCTCCTTACAATTTTTTTTATCCCTTTGCTTACATTATCCATCTGTTCTTACATGCTCTTTTTCCCTTAGAGCCTTTAGCATATTAATCATAGTTGTTTTAAATTCTTGGTCTGATAATTGGCATATTTCTGTCATATTTGGGTCTAGTTCTGAAACTTGTTCTCTTTCTTTAAAGTGTGTTTTGTAATTTCTTTTTTGAAAGAAAATCGTGATACTGGATAAAAGAAATTGTGGTGAATAGTCCTTTAGTAATGTAGTGGTAAGGTGTGGGGCGAGGAGAAATGTCTTGTAGTCCAGTGTTTTCATGCCTGTGCTCCTGGGTTGAAACTTCACAAATGCTTCTCATTTTTTTCTGTTTTCACTAACTTGGGAGGGACAGGATGGCTAGAGGGGGCTGGGATTGGGCGTTTCATTTCTACCTGGATGGCAGAAGGGAGGATCAGTTGGGTATTTCCCTTGTACCACATGAAAGGCTAGAGTTGTTTTTTTCTCTTCCTCCAGGTAATTTAGGCTTTTAGAAAACTGTAGCAGGTTATGCTCTGACAAATAGTTTCTCCTGAGGGCAGACTCTGTTAAGATGAACAGAGTACTCTG